TATACGCATTCAAAAGTGTATAAGATAATTGAATCATTTGAAGCTAAAATTGGGCAGAATAATGATGACCAATTTGTAAACGTTAAATCTGAGAAACCCCAACTAGTACTGGAGATATTTGGTGAATGAAGGAAAAAAATAAAAAGTTCATTGCTTTTCTTCTTTTAGTTCTTAACAAAATCTGCTCTCATTTCTTATATTTTCATTCTTGTTCACTTCAGAACAGATTCACAACAAAACATTTTGTCGCTTAACTAAACTTTAATTAATATATCAGTGTTTCGCTTTTTATGAGATTAGAAACTGATTTTAAAAATTAAAGTTTGAAGAATTAAACCTGTTCATGAGCCTTAAAAATGTGAAAAAAAAATTCAGATTTTTGGCAATTTTTTGAATTAAAAAAAGGAACTTTTATAACGTAATTTTATCTTTTCCATTTTTCTGCTTTAAAATGTGCAACTTGTTTGCATCTGTTCATTTCTCAGTACCAATGATAATTTATAATATTTTCAGGTACAAAACCATAACTTTAAACCATAACTCATGTTTTTCTATTTCGAAATCCGAATTGAAAGCATAAAAGATACACAATTAACTGCTTTGCTTACTGCGAATTTAATCTATTTGAAGTTTTCGTTCCTACTTTCGACATTTCGTTTCAAATTTGAATCAAGATTCAAGCACCACATGTTTTGCAGTAAGCAAAAGTGAATCAACGGAAAACACATTTACAAACTGGTTTCAAGTAAATGGTATACTGAAAAATGCAAATCTGATAATGAAAACATTTTTTAAATTCTAGGAGTTTCGCTTAAAATAGATATGATCAAAATTTTCGTTTAAGCTACTAATTCGCGACTGATTTTTGCTGCACAGTACATACCACTATTTTCGTTCCCTATTTTGGTCAGAGCGTTTTTCATTTAAAATAATAACTTAGATGCTTTTTGTACTGTGATTGTATTGTCGATTTATTTAATAGATGATTCAGGGGCAACCAGGACTACGAAAGTGAGTGAAACAACATCCAGAAGATCGCAATCGCCAAAGAAATCACCTCAGCGAGTTGCATCTCCTGAAAGAATCCAAGTGAAGAGATTCAGATCAAGATCCCCCGATAAAATTCCCGACATCATCGAACCCCAGCCGGAAATTGTTAGCAGTAAATCCCGAAGTCGAGAACCAACTCCCGATGGCGATTTACCACATTACATGAAACCGTTAGATAGAAGCCTAAGACCGAACAGTCCTCATCGAGATGGTTCTAGTCCAAGTTCGTAAAGAATTGAAAAGAATTATGTGAAATTTTACGTGATTTTTACAGCTAAACCTCAACCTGTAGAACAGGATGCTAGATCAACTCGGTTTGGGGTTACATTGAGAAGAACTGATTCGGGCCGGACCATAAAGACAACAGAGAATTCTGCTATAACCGAAAGAAGGAAAAGCAGTATTATCTTGGAGAAGCGGATCACTGAGGAGGAAATTGAGGAGATTTTTGAATTGGAAGTTTTGGAGGAATTGGTACGTACAGCGTGGTTTACATGAGATGCCCTTGACTGTAATGTCAACAGGAAAATATTTTATGAGTTTGCTTAAGAGAAGAGACAACTAAAAATGATAGAACTTTCACAAAGTTAGAAAATTAACGATTTATATTAGGACAACGTATATTTTGATTATATCTAACCTTTGTATTGAAAACTGACGGCCCCTTTGATTAAATCTAACCCAATAACAAAACTACAAGTTCAAATTCTGCTTCTACGGAATGCTAATTTGAAAATTAAAAATACAGGATTCAGTTTTCTGAAATTATCAACAGCGTTTAATTTTAATACATTTTTAATTGATAATACGGATTTGTGGAAACTTTGAAAATGTTGTGTTGTTGCATAATTAAAGGTTAAGAGGTGAAATCATTTTTTTTCGAAAAAAAAAACGTTGTAAAATGTGAACAGAAATGGAAATATTTAGAACCTCCTGATACTTCTGTACACTTTTTATTCACCCAAGAAAATGTTAACAGATCAAATATCATTTAGGCATTTAAATATGTGAAAACCTACTTATTTTGGTAGACATTTAAGTACAAAATTTTAAATTTAGTTCCTGTGTACGTGTTTGGCCTTTAATGTAGCATTTTGCTGATGCTTTAAACGTTTTGCATTAAATTTGATTAAAAAAATTTTATGTACGTTATATCAAGTCAAATGGTACTGATCAGAAACTTTTCATGGAAAATGTAATTTCAGGCAAAATATTTCTTAAGAGAAGAAATAGACCCAAATTCACTAAAGTCACACTTCTTCTAATAGACAGTTTTTTAGCTTAATTTACCTAATCGAGCTTCAATCTCTTGCCAAGTTCAATAATATTGTAATTTGACCCGTTCTCTGTAGGTATGTAATGGAAACATACGAATTACATTTTTTACTGTTGTTGTGTGATGTAACTGATCTTGTCTCTGACAATAGCTGTTTACTTTGTTGTACACGATTTGTAAATTGTGGCAACGTTCCCATTGGTGTTGTATTACACAATTTCTAAATATTTTGATTCCTTACATTTTTTCTAGCCTTGCCAAAAGCAGTGCATGTTTCCAAGATTCTTAAAAATTTCCAAAGCCAAGTTATTTTTACTTAAGCCATGGACACTCGCAACTAAACTGATCTTTGCTCTACTCTCCTAACTAAATAAGTTTAATATTTCTTCACTTTTGTAAAGGCTGTACTTTTAGGCAGTTCATAAACTCATATTTTTGCAGCTTGAAAAAATAACTGGCTACGAACTGAGAAGGAAGATTCGCACCCAAATTCGCCTAGTAAAAAAGCTGATAACAGAAGGTACCCTAGAAGAGTACATTACGAAAAGAAAATCAGTATCACGTGAGGCCATTACTCGAAGAGGTTCCAGCCCATCTAAAGCTCCGAAACCCGAAACTACAACCAGCTCTACTGAATATCAGTCGACCTATACAAGGAAAGTTAGTCCAGAGCGTAAAGTCGTCGACTCCAATAAGCTATACAAGCATTCCGGACTCGTCGACAGGCGAAGAAGTAGCTTGGAAACGACTACCGAATATCAGTCATCCTACTCGCATGATGAACGCAGATCTTCCACTGAAATTACATCAGTGTCGAGAAAAAGCTCGAGTCCTCAAAGAACTAGTTCCAAAACCACCGAGTTTCTCCCTTCGGATAAAGTGACTACGACTACAACCACAGAAAACATCCCCGGAGGAACCCGATCGACCACAACCAAAACCACAGAAAGAACGTTTACCACTTTGAAAAAAACAGTGCCCCCTGCAAAAGCACCGATGTCCGCTTCACAGCCAGAATGGGTGAGGCAGCGAAATTTGAAAAACACCAGAGAAACTGCCGCTACCACTGTTAAAAAGAGCACAAACACTTCTACCAGCACATCCAAGAAGTTTACTTCCAGAATCAGCCCGGCAAAGGAAATTAAGGGCACGGATATTATCACGTCCAGTTATGGCGTAGGACCAACAGACGAAAATGGTACACCTTTATTTGGACTGAAGGCTCTGAGGGCACAGAATAAAAATGAAAAAACAAAAGGTGAGAAAGTACTACTACTAAGTATATTACGTGATCATTTTAGGCAAATGAAGGCAGAATCTCTGGAATCATAAAAAAAAATTGTTTTTTTCATATTGATATAACATTGAAATTTTAGTTCAAGGAACAGTGATTCGAAGTGAATATTACTCGGAAAACGATCAAGAGCCGGTGGGCCAAGTGAGCGTTACGAAATATTCGACCGATCCGAGAGACTTGGAACAAGACGGAATTATTGCCGTTGATGGAAAAGTGTCCAGCGTTACCACCACCCAGAAATTTGGATATAAAGATACACCGTCTTTGAAAAGTCTCACCGACAAGAAAAAGGTAACAAATAATTTAAACCGCATTATAAACGTGGGCTGTTCACAGGCATAACCATTTTTACTTGTTTGGTCCAAACTGTAACTTTATGTAAATTTGCAAGCTGTTTACATATCGGCTTTTAAATCCAATTGCCGTTAAGGCATTTACTAGTTTTCATATCCGTTTACAGGCATTTCACTAATCGTTATAGCTTATAATTACAAATCATCGCTCAGATTTATACGAAACTTTCCATCAGCAATTTCATTTACTGTTTTACAATTTCGTCCTATATCCGACATTACAATTTGGTTTTCTTATAAAAATCAATAAAACGTAGTAAAATTTAATTAATTTGCGGACTTATGATCGCAGATTTATCATCTGTTTATATTTAATAGGATATAAATAGTGCGTAATATGTCTAAAATTATTTTAGTATGCTTCTATTACGCACTAATAAAAAGCTTTTGTTTGTGACGCTTATGTACATTGCTGACCATGAAACTTTAAAATTAACATTCAATGCAGATTTTTACACAAAATAAACGCTTACAAACGAACAGTTTGAAAATAAAAGTGATCAATTCACACTTAATAAATGACCATTGGCCCTTTTTAGTGCTATCTTTTTAGCTAGTTCTATCCGACTCTATGCATGCACCAATTCTCGATTAAAGCTCCGATCCTCTACAGCTTCCATATTAAGAACACTAAAGATGCATATTTTGACTATTCTATTCTTGACATTTTATATTACGCAGTAATAATAGTTTCGTGCATTTAATTTCATACAATTTCCTTTACATATTTATTTTCAATCTTCAGCCGTTCATTCTTGGGATTTATAAAAAAAAAGTACATTATCCGCAAGTTTTTTATTACTTCAGTAACAGTTTTCTATTGTTGCCTTTCAATATACATTTCAATTTAAGTTACTTATTTGGGGCCTAACTTTTATACCTGGCGCACAGGTATTATCTAAATTATCCGTTTTCATTCAGGAATCAATTGATATGTAATGTGTAATAAAAACTTTAATTTACGTACGTTCTTGGCATAAACTATTCCATGTTCCAATTAATTTAAACACGTTACTAACAGTTAAAACATAACATTGTCGGTTACATCTTGTGTGTGTCTATGTTGAATATATTGTTAATAGTTTGTCAACAAAACGGTACATTTAGGCAGGTACTAGCAATAATTAGGTAGAATTTGATTTAAAAATTCGAAATAAGTGTTCAAAATTTAAGTTTAAAAAGATCAGTCTGACATGAACCCAGTTTTACTTGGATATTGGGCACTAAAAGCATACGAAACGCTTCTAAAAAAATCGAAGATTTTGTAATTGGTACATTATAAAATATATTTTTGAACTACCAGACATCTTTCAGATTTCCACTTTTTTGTCTATTTGTAAACTATTTTAAATTTAAAGTTTAATTGCAATTTCTAGTGTTTTATAACGTATACGACTATTTAATAATAACTTGACCCAAATTGAGAATAATTCATATTCTTATCATGAACTTCTACGCAACAATACTCTTTTTCAGCGATTTTTAATTCTCAAATCAGGGTGTATAATTTTTTCGTATTCGGACATTAGCAATCAGAATGTTTAAATTTTATATGAAAATAGTTGTGAATTTTTCGATATAAAATAGAGCGACCGCATAAAATCGGTCGTTATTTTGTTCCATTTTGTTTTTAATGTCTAGAAATGTTTGCTAGAATGCCATGCTTGCATTGATTAATTATTTAACTTACAATTGTATAACTTACAATATTTTCTTCTGCAAATTTGATTTTTTTTCTAATTTTGACGAACATATTTTAAGTTAAACATTTCTAGGATATTTCGAGTTATATTGCTGAATGTAATCTAATATTGCATATAAAGTTTAGCTTCTCAATTCTTCAACAAGATAATCTTTGTCCCCAGAACTTAAAAATTATATATGAAATTTGAATAGAATAACTACTACAAACTGCATTCAATTATTCCTTTGGTTGATTTCAAGAACAAATCATTGCCAGCTAACGCCTGCTATAAAGTTTGTTTTACTTTAAGAATTGCCTATCAAATGCAACAGAAACAAACATAAAAATATTTACAATATTTTTTGAGCTGTAAATAGAAGAAAATCCCAGACAGTTTCTGGAGACTTTGAAATGTGCAGTAAAATAAAAATTATCTGACTTGTAGGTCTTGACATTGAAAATGCTTCTAATGTACAGAGACTCTTAGAGAAATAGCGTATAACAACTGGTAAAATTGTATATTTTTTAAGTTTAAGTTTATAACGAAATTTGATTCCTGATTTTGCATTTTAACCTTTTTTGTCATTCCTGCACTTGCTAACCATTCTTTTAATTTTATTTATGGCAATATGTATGTTTTAATTTCAATTGCGAGAATTTAAATGCATTTTAGGTCAATTTTGCAAATTATCTGCATCTTTAATTATCTCATATGTTCTTTTAGCTTAGTGCGTTTATCCTAGGTTTTAAAGCCTGCTTTCATTTGAATATATTCTACTGAATTTTTATTAGACAAACTGGTTAATATTTAAACTTTTGTGATTCTCACTGCTGTATTTTGGCATCTTGAACCCATTAGCGAGAATGTATGTGAATGTTTAATATAATTAGCAGTGACCAGTCATTCAAATGCAAATTAGATTTAAGCCCATTAAAGTCAACACACATCAAAACAGCTTCTGAACGAAAGGATGTGCGCTCACTTTCTAATAGCCACTTGATTAACGATATCTTCCTTTTTTGAATAATTATTAACGGATACACCTTTTTCGCTTTAAAATAGACGTCTAGTAATAGTAAAGCTTGACTTTGTTTAGCCATAATTACTTTGTCTGTGCCGGAAAGTCGTTAATTATAATCTTTTTTTCTAGGAAATATGCGACACCACCGAAACATCGACAACTAAAACCACTAAAGTTAATCGCAGAGGTTCAGTCAAAGAAATCTCAAAGAAATTCATTGATAATGCAGGTCAGTAACATCAATAACTTTCCCATTTGTTTAAAAATGGATACATTTTATTGCTCGAAAGCAGTCGGTATTGTCCTTGAATGCGTAAACAATCACGGTTGTATGTGACAGAGTGTTCAGATTAATGTTTAAGAAAAAAACTGGTGCAACTAAATGGATATCTGAGAAACGTGCAACGAAATTTAAGGTAATGCGTTTGAAAAGAAAATTACATTTTATCAACGTTGCATCAATAACTTTTTGCGCTTGGCGATGTTAACAATAGTCATAAAGTGACTTTGAAACAAATAAAAGTTTAGTTCGTTATGGAAAAATCATTAGAAGTAGAGTTAAAATCATTAATAAAATAATTTGACATTAATAATTTTACTACAGGAAGTTTAAAGTGAAGATTTTCTCTAATATTTAGGGAAAATTTTTTTCATATAATTTCAGTTGAAACTTTGAAGAGTGAACGGCAAACAACCTATCCAAAGGCAGGTTTGATCTTGCGAAGTTCCAGCTTCAAAAGTACGAACGGCGAAGGTGAATTGGATAGCAGAGAATCATCTCCAGGTAATTCATTATCAAAATTTTAATTTTCTCTTATAAGCATTTACATAAATGAAGGATTTTTAAATTTTTGTTTTATTGCGTATTATCAACGTGGTTATTCTAAGCCAACTACCTCCAAGCAACTATTTCCTAATTTTTTTCTTTACATTTACTTCTGCATGATGCATGAACTTGTAGTATTTGGTTACCTTAATTATATGTCACAAAAATAGCTGTTTTCTTTCTTTTATTGTTATGATTGTTTCGTCGTCTTTATGCATGCGTCTCATTTCGTCTACGTTAGTTATTTATTTATTTCACCAATACGCTCATCTCAAATCGGCTTCAGAACCTCGTTCATAATTCTATCAAGCCCAGGGATGTTCTATCTCTATAGATTTTTATTTTTTAAAAGGGACAATTTCCTTCTTTATTTCCACGACTGTAGGAAAAAATGGCTGTTTAAAAGCACTTTTTGAACGGTATTAGAAAATAGATTTTGTAGTCAATGAAGTGAAGACTCACGTTTGAGAGAAACATGGCATTTTATTAGTGCGAATATAAGTAGAAAATGTGCTCAATCGACTCCTTTCGACGTAAGGTCAGAAATATGCATTCATAAAGTATTTGGACCAATAATAACGAAAAAATCGTCTGCCAAAAATTGTGAACTCTCAAAAACCGCTTCAAATGTGCAGAAAATATCTATTATTTCGGATTTGAAACTTCTAGCATGCTTTTCAATTAGTTCGATGCATTCCCCGTAGCCGTGCGCTGAAAATGATGCAAAATTAAAGGCATTTCGAGAAAATTTTAATTTTTTTTTAAATCGACTTCCACCCTTGGAAAAATTTCGGGCAAAAATCAAAATTTTACATGCGTGTTTTTGTGCTCAATCGACTCCGTTCGACGTGAGTAGGTCAGAAATATGCATTTATAAAATATTTGGGCCAATAATAACGAAAACATCGTCGGCCAAAAATCGTGAACTCTCAAAAACCGCTTAAAATGTGCAGAAAATGTCTATTATTTCGGAATTGAAACTTGTTCATAAACACGTTTTTCAACTAGTTCGATGCATTCTCCGTGCCCGTGCGCTGAAGATGATGCAAAATGACAGGCATTTTGAGTAAATTGAAAAAAAATTAAATCGACGACTTAATTTAATTAGATCGACCCTTGGAATTTATTTTAAATTTACTTTAGTTTAGTATTTATTATTTATTCGCTGCTTTCCAAAACCACGCCTCCAATCTGGTGGTTTATGATTCCAAAACATATGAACTCAATTTGGACATTTATTTTCAATAAAATTTTGGGTTTTC